TAGTGAGACAAAGTTGTATGACTTCTACCTCTAATACATGCTTAAGGTGCCCATACACTGCACGATTATCGTACGATAATCGTATGCGATCGGTTTTTCGTACGATAATCGAGCAGTGTGAACGGAGACGTGCGACCGTTTCTACTGTACGGTCGCACGTCTTCTGTCGAACCAGCATGTTCGAAAACCAGCCGGGAATCGTACGATTCTCGGCTGGTTAGAACGGTGCTCGGAAGACAAATGCCGAACGGGCCGGTGTGCGCACGCGCACACTGCCCGTTCAGCATTGCGGTCATCGGAAGCCCGCCCCTCAGGGGGGCGGGCTTGCGATGATCGAGAGTGCGATCTGCCTGTCCAAGATAGGCAGATCGTACGTTTTTTTAATCCCTGTACAACCATCGCAAGACTAAAGTGTATGGCCACCTTTAGATGTATCTTGTCCAGATTCCTTCATCCATGCTGTCTGCTGTTATATTCAAACAGCCAGCACCTGCTGCTGTCAGAATACCCAAACAGTGACTGCATCTGATTACATGCAGTTTGGCCAACAATTTTCCACCTTTGATTTTCCAAGCTGGGTAGTACCATCATGTGCACCCACAGCTTGAATATCAACAGAATCAGTAGGAATCAGCCAAAATTTGATCCATGCATGGCTACCTTTACTTTTATGTCTCTGGTCTCTCTATATATCATTGCTACTATCACCAGAGGCGGATCTAGGGAACAAAGGGCCCTGGTGCAAGATTATTTTTGCCCCCCTCCCCCCCCCCCAAAAAAAAACCCTAACCCATATCCCCTGTAGCAACCACAACAAAAAAAGTTGGAAAAATGTAATTGCTATATAAAGTACAGCTGAGATTTGTATTCCTTTTCCCGCCGCATACCGATCCGATGGTAACCGGCGGCCGGACCCCAACGGTCCCCCCCATCTCTGCCCCGGGGCTGTGTTTGAATGGATACTGGGTCCCCCCTGTAGGCTCAGGCCCCGGTGCGGCAGCACCGGCCGCACCGGCGGTAGTTCTGCCACTGACTATCACCAAATGTTTTCAGAACATAAGAGCCCTTTCACACGGGCAAACTGATAGGTCAGGGGTGCCCATTAGGTCGAATGTGATCTATCAGTCGTTCGCAAAGCTAACACTGGTAGATCGCGAGTAGGCTCCCTGCCCGAGCTCTCTCCTGTGGTGCTAGTGCGGTCGAATGTGTCGGAGACTGCAGACAAGAGGGGCATCCCTCCCCTCACCGCCATCCCTCCTATTACTGTCTGCAGCATCCAACACATTTTGCCTGCCCCTCCACACATGTAGTGTCTCTCCACTTATAGCAATGGACATATTTGGGCCGCCCCTCCTCCATGTTCCCTCGCGTCACTGCCGGTCAGAGTAAAACTCCTTCTGACCGGAAGTTCCAGTATCGCGAAAGGTATCGGAGAGTATGAATACTCGACCAAATACTCTGTATCGGCACCAATACTAGTATCGGTATATCCCTAATTCAAATTATTAGGTTTATTCAATAAGAAGGTACATGCAGTAGTCCCAGTAAGCATTTTAATGTGTTTGCTTTTAAAATACAGGTGTGTTTTTTTCGTTGGTAGATATCATTGAGCTCTTGGTTTGAAAAGTAGATCATAACACCAAAAATTGTGGGCACCCCCTGTGCTAGGTGGATCTGATCGGTGTTAGATCTGATCGAAGTTTTAGTTTATGGGCAGCTGGACCTAAATGGACGTGCATTTATTTACATCCGATTACTCCCAACTTCGGTCAGATCTGGAAAACCAAATGGAATAGAGTACCGTTTTGCCAGACCTGATTGTGGTGGATTGGGGGCGAACTGTCAAATGTCTGTTTACATCCGACTCCACATAGTCCTAACATGGCTCTGTTAAGGTCAGTTTTTTCCTCCATTGCAAGATGTAGGGAATAACTGGACAGACATGGATGTCACACCAGTGCTATTCGTTCTGACCTGCCCGATCAGCAGGAGATCCATGCATGAATCCCTCCTGATCGGAACTGAAGGCACATATGTGAAAGAGGCCTTACATGTCTATGGTAGTTTTCATTCCTACACTGATAGGTCTTAGGAGTATAAGAAGTTGGAGCTAATGGGCATGAGTGGACATAAATTAACATCACACTAAAGCCTTCATATATTAAACCAAATAATGAAAGTGTCTTTGTCTTTCCTTGCCATCACTCCATCAACATATACTCTGCAACAAAACAACACATGTACTTTGTTTCATAATGCATACAGGATAATTCACCACCACTGAAGCAATACATGATAAAATGGGATCTGACCTGCTGGGATTTGGACACAATAGAGTCATATTAATATCAAGTATTAGGGAGCTCGTAAAGGTAAATTAAATACCTTCCTTACTCAAAATAGTATCAACAGTTATATTTGCTTAACCTTGTGAGCATATATTAACACTACCCCACTACAGTTAACATTTGCCTTCCTGTGTGTGTAAGGAGTAGAATTAGGCTCATCAGCTGACTAGTTAAAATATGATTTAGATTTACTGAACTGATGGTCAGAAAATGGAATGTACCTAATAGCTAGACAAAACATCTTTGTTATTAGCATATGGGATTGCTAATATCTAGGTTTTCAGATAGTAAAAAGTTGTTTGCCAGGTGTTTATTTGCAGTCGTGCAGCTATTAGGTACATTGCTCCTTCCCTACCACTCTCTGGCTTGATCTCACAGTACTAAACAATTCCACTTTTTACATGGTGGTCCCTCTGAGATCTTGCCATTCCAACTGTCCTTGATTTTATGACAGGCCAGATCAATTGGCTCTTTGGTTACGTTTTCCTGTGGAAGCATCCAGCAGGTTTGGCAAAAATATAATACATATCTCCAGTGTCCACTAGAAAATCAAGACAGTAAGATCTGCATTTCCCCTTTTTAAGGGAAGGCAACCCTGGCCCCTGCCAAGGCACCTCAACACCTTACCAAACACCAAACAAAAAAACATTTTCTGACACCACCCGACTCTGAAATTGCAAACTAAAAAAAGTGCATGCTGGCTCACATGCAAAACAATGTGTCTTGGGGTTTTTCCAAAAGGTCTTCCAGCTGTTGTGCAGGACCTGAAATTCTCTATGACCTATCTGCTTCAGCTTGCAAGCAAAACAGACCAGAGGTCATAGACATTTCATGTCTGGTTCTTAGTAAGTCATTATGCTCCTATATTTGCGCAACCATCACTGCACAGAATGGTATGACTCCTTCCAGTCCTGCCTCATCCCTCTTCTCATTTTCTGATAGCTGAAATGTTTAAAACAAGTAACATATTGTGTAAAAAAAAAAAAAGAAACAGAAGAGAGGGAGGATTAGGTGGAGACAGAACTGCCCTATTACACGCTCAGTTCCTGGCAAAGAATAAGAAAATAAGTTCCTACAGACAACTCCCTGTAAGGAAATTATTATAACACCTCCCTGAAATGGCACCACCCCTCACCCCCATTATCTACCTCTAATGCTGATGAATATAGTAGGCAATATTGTAGATAAATAACATGAAATATGGATTATACAAGGGGTAACACAGATCTGCAAGCATGCACAATTATTTTGCTAATTCAGAAAGCTCGCAATTAAAAGATCATTTAGTTTTGCTTTAAATATATAATTATTTAAGTCATGAAAAATAAATAAGGCAATCATTATATTTTTCCAGCCACTACTTTCCACAACCCTGTACTCAATGCCAGAGTCAAGCTTTGAAGGTCTTTACAAAGATATGAAAGGATATTACCAATGACATTTCTTATAACCTTGACATGTCGAATTACTTTTTAGTTTAATTCATGTTTATTTACAGATGAAAAAGCTTGATACGGGAAAGGATTTAGTATTAGCAGAAGACAGAAGAACTTAGGGTCAGGCAGAAGGTACTAAAAATAATATTTTGGGATGCATCAGAACAAGCTTTCATAGAATTTATTCCCCCCATGATGTGAACCTACATGAAACATGTATTAGGACTGCTGGAAAGCAATGTATATGCTTTACTAACTTTGGGTAGCCAAGCACAATAGACAACATTCTGCTGTGCACCACTACAGCCTACAACAATCTGTTACCTCGCAGGAGGCTATTTAGAAAGAAAGTACTGAAAATACAGTTTCCCCCTCTTGCAAGATCAAATACCCTTACACTATGAAAGAATATATATTCTTCCAAGATGAGTCAGAGAAAAGCATTCTCTATTGAGCTGAGCTTTTTACTACCCACTGACATTAGCAACTAATTATATTGCTGATGGCATGTGCAGTATGGACCAATGGCAGTAAGAGCAGTAGAGAATAAAACATAACATACTTTTATACTCAAAGTTATAACCACCAGTTACCATTATATCAGTCTTTCAAGTCTAAAGTATATGTTACCCGTTTTCAATGTACAGGTACCCCTGTACCATTATAAATATGATATTTACCACCTATCTATATTGATAAAGAACTACTTTACTATACTGTTCCCCCCATAACCTTAGCCACAAGTTCACAGACCAAACTTCCTGTGGGTTGTAAGAGTGCATCACCACCACTCCGATTCTAAGATGGCCAACCATCTCCTTCCACTAAATCCAACATTTGTAGACTTTGTCCTTTTCAAAATGGCCTCTAGAGCCTATAGAAAAAGACAGGTTTGGACTGTTTGTTAACTCGGCACAGTTTTACTAATGCGTGACATCATAGACTTCAGCAAAGTATAGCTATTTTTCCATAAGGCCATCCTTCAAACACCTCCTGATCATTTCTAAGAACCAAAAGTGGAACTAGTCCAATACCTTGGGAAACACGCCAATTTAGAACTAAATATGTGTTTAGCATGGCTGACAAAGTCGTATGCTGTACTGCTGAATGCCAAGATCCTATAAAAGAATAAACTGTCGGTGATATTTTAAACAAACACTTTACTCTTCAATCCAGGAATCGTATCGCCTGGAGAAAAAAAAGACAAGATCCGTACCTGCTTTGAGCTGATCTAAAACTTTCATGACTGCCTTAAGCTGCTGTTGGTAGCCATCTGTTTGCTTTACTGCCTCCTCTTCTTTACCTTCAATGTCCTTAAGGATTGACCGGTGTTCCTGCTCCAGTCGTACTCCCTGGGCTTTGAATTCTTCAATTTCTTTTTTGATCTGTGGAATACAGACATTTTCACTGGCCTGTATGTCTAAACCCAGAGGCTTTCTCAAAGATACAAACCGACTAAAGGTGTCATGTTTTAGTGATACATGTGTTTAACACCAACTGTCTTAATAGTTACATTCACTTTGACAAGTGAATGTAACACTTTTCTTGGCAATAAAATGGTTATACATTTATTATATATATATATAATGAATAAAAATAGGAATCAGGGAATTAGAAGCCAGAGGACGTTGAAAAAGGACAGACAAGGCGGATATCTGACCCTTAAAGTGACATTAAAGGATCATTTTTTTCCCTCCCCCAATGTTAATGTCAGCACTTACCTTAAATTATGTCTCTTAATCCGATCTTCCTCTTCTTTCCTGATGTTTTCATCTGTCCCTCCAGCGGTGCGGCGGCTCTCCGATCCATCACTGACCCCTCTCTGCTTGCAGGCACTTCCGATCCAGCGGTGTCTGCATGCGGATGCACGCGTCCATTGACTTACCTTGCGTCTCTGCTCGTCTCCTGGCCGAGAATCCGAACTGCGCATGCGCCCGCCCCAAGATGCTTTGCGGCCGCCCGAGCAGTTTCGGATTCTTGGGCGGGAGCGGGCAGCGAAAACAAGGTAAGTTTAAACCGCTGTTAAAGCGGTTTAAAAAAAAAACTTTTTGCCTATATCTGCTGCTTGATAGCAGTAGATATAGGCAAAAAAACGGAGGGTTTGGAACCACTTTCATGGTACTAAGAGCTAAACGTTGATCTACCCCAAATTGAAGGAAAGACAAAATTCCCAAAATAGAAAAAGCCTCTGGGGAAAACCCCAAGGGCTCACGGTGATACATTTTACTAGTATATTCGGGATAACAGAATCTGAAGCTCCTCTTTCTTTTAACACCTGGGTTTCAAAACAATGCCATTAACAATGTTTCTTAGACAGTGACTGAGAAGCAGGGTAGAAGATTGACCCCTGAGATAACAGATCTGGCTAATGTGGAAGAAGCCAGGCATCATCTGCCAACAGATGAACCTAATAGGCAAACCACACCCTGCAAGGCCAATCAAGGCAGCGAGAATGACTGGAATATTTTTGTGTTCCATCCTGCGAAGTAGACGAGGTAACAGCATCAATGGAGGAAATACATACATCAGGGTATAATGGTCCCACAGAGCTACCAAGGCACGTTGCCAACCCGGTCTGCCTGACTTCAAATATCTTCTGTCTGCCTCCCTGCTGTGTGTTTATACTGCATGGCGTAGCAAGGCGGCTAACGGACTTCCACCTAGTATCCAAGTCTTAATTCCGGCACTCGTGCCCCAGAGTACCTGTATTCACTATCAGGCTTTCTGGGACCAGAGTTGCAAGAGAGAGGCCGCCCTCGTCATCTCAAGCTCCATCAGGTTCGTGACAGTAGTACTCAGCCATCCGGAGCTTGAAAGGGCGGTTTTCTTTATCATGGGGGAACTCAGCAAATCTCGGCCCTTACCCAAGCAGTCAAGGGCCTACAAGAAGGTTACTTCCAGTTGGAAGGACGCCTGGAGGCTCTGGCACACACCGCGGCAGCCGAAGCCGCTCCACCTCTCGGTACTGCACCCATTGTCGGAGCACCAACACCTGCAGTCTCAACGCCTGTCCCTGAACCTCGGATCCCCACTCCTGAACGTTTCTTTGGAGATCGCAGTAAGTTCTGGGCGTTTCTAAACGCGTGCAAATTGTGCTTTATGCTTCAGCCAAGGACCTTTTCTTCTGAGACCGCAAGAGTGGGATATATAATTTCATTGTTGCAAGGTGAACCTCAAGCTTGGGCCCACCGACTGCTCGAATAGAGCAGTCCACTTCTGGACTCTGAAACAGCCTTTTATGAAGCCATGGCACTAATCTATGATGACCCACGCAGGGCCTCTACTGCAGAATCCATGCTGCACACCTTGCAACAAGGCTGACGACCAGTAGAGGACTACGTAGCAGAGTTCAAGAAATGGAGTACTGATACTAATTGGAACGACTCTGCTCTTTCAGTTTCGTGCAGGACTCTCGGAATCCCTCGAGGATGAATTAGCAGGTGTTCCAGGGACCCTGGACAAACTCATTCGAATTTCCATCCAGATTGACAGACGTCTAAGAGAATGCCGAGCTGAAAGAACCCACCAACCACGCCCTGCTTGGATGTTTCCTCAGGTTTTTTTTCCTGCGAAGTAGACGAGGTAACAGCATCAATGGAGGAAATACATACATCAGGGTATAATGGTCCCACAGAGCTACCAAGGCACGTTGCCAACCCGGTCTGCCTGACTTCAAATATCTTCTGTCTGCCTCCCTGCTGTGTGTTTATACTGCATGGCGTAGCAAGGCGGCTAACGGACTTCCACCTAGTATCCAAGTCTTAATTCCGGCACTCGTGCCCCAGAGTACCTGTATTCACTATCAGGCTTTCTGGGACCAGAGTTGCAAGAGAGAGGCCGCCCTCGTCATCTCAAGCTCCATCAGGTTCGTGACAGTAGTACTCAGCCATCCGGAGCTTGAAAGGGCGGTTTTCTTTATCATGGGGGAACTCAGCAAATCTCGGCCCTTACCCAAGCAGTCAAGGGCCTACAAGAAGGTTACTTCCAGTTGGAAGGACGCCTGGAGGCTCTGGCACACACCGCGGCAGCCGAAGCCGCTCCACCTCTCGGTACTGCACCCATTGTCGGAGCACCAACACCTGCAGTCTCAACGCCTGTCCCTGAACCTCGGATCCCCACTCCTGAACGTTTCTTTGGAGATCGCAGTAAGTTCTGGGCGTTTCTAAACGCGTGCAAATTGTGCTTTATGCTTCAGCCAAGGACCTTTTCTTCTGAGACCGCAAGAGTGGGATATATAATTTCATTGTTGCAAGGTGAACCTCAAGCTTGGGCCCACCGACTGCTCGAATAGAGCAGTCCACTTCTGGACTCTGAAACAGCCTTTTATGAAGCCATGGCACTAATCTATGATGACCCACGCAGGGCCTCTACTGCAGAATCCATGCTGCACACCTTGCAACAAGGCTGACGACCAGTAGAGGACTACGTAGCAGAGTTCAAGAAATGGAGTACTGATACTAATTGGAACGACTCTGCTCTTTCAGTTTCGTGCAGGACTCTCGGAATCCCTCGAGGATGAATTAGCAGGTGTTCCAGGGACCCTGGACAAACTCATTCGAATTTCCATCCAGATTGACAGACGTCTAAGAGAATGCCGAGCTGAAAGAACCCACCAACCACGCCCTGCTTGGATGTTTCCTCAGGTTTTTTCACCTGGAGTTAATATGCCTACCACTCAGGCTTCAGTTCCAGTCCCTACACCTGACACCTCTGAACCCATGCAATTGGGTCTCCTCCGTTCTCCACTATCTCCTGAGGAGAAGAATCGCCGCCATCAGCTAAACCTCTGCCTATACTGCGGTGAGGCTGGACATTTTGCCAAGAACTTGTCCAAACAAGCTTAGTAAGTTCTTTTTTCATCCTGCTACAACAATCATCTCATTGACTGATAAACAAAGATCTTACATTAACCTTCCTATCTCGTTACAGCTTCCGGAAGGAGAACTTCATACTCATGCCATCGTTGATTCCGATGCTTGCAGCTGTTTCATCGATCATCAATTTGCACAGCATCATCATATTCCATTAAAAGACAAGGCTCAAGGATTAATTATTCATTTAGCTGACGGCTCCAACATAAAGTCTGGACCAGTCATTCTAGAAACTGTTCCTCTGTCTGCTTCCACGCTCCTGGGACATAAAGAACTTCTACGTTTTGATGTCATCTCATCCCCATTGTTTTCCATTATTCTTGGAATACCGTGGCTCAGAGCACATAATCCCTGTATTGACTGGCAAACTAGTAGAGTGGATTTTCATTCTGCTTATTGTGCACAAAATAGTTTTTTCACTACTACACCCACTGTTTCCCTATGTCAACAAGATACCAACCAAGAACTACGCTCACTCATTCCTACACATTACCATGTGTATCTTGATGTGTTCAGTAAACAAAAAGCAGACATGTTACCACCTCATCGCCCCTATGATTGTCCCCTAGAACTACTACCAGGAGCCAAGATTCCCTATGGACGGATCTACCCGTTATCCGAGCCGGAACTAGAGACGTTAAAGAATTATATAGAGGAGAATCTTGCAAAAGGGTTTATTTACCCCTCAACTTCACCTGCTGGCGCTGGTATATTTTTCATAGAGAAAAAGGACCACACCCTACGCCCATGTATCGATTATCGAGATTTGAATCAGATAACCATTAAAAAAACGATATCCGCTTCCTCTGATCCCCGAACTTTTTCAGAGACTTTGTAATGCTACAGTCTTTACCAAATTGGATCTCAGAGGAGCCTACAACCTGGTCCGAATTCGTGAGGGAGATGAATGGAAACGGCTTTTCGAATCCGTTTCAGACATTTCAAATACTTAGTGATGCCTTTCGGCCTTTGCAATGCCCTGGCCACCTTCCAGTATCTGGTTAATGATATTTTCAGGGACTTCCTGGACCAATTTTTGATTGTTTACCTGGATGACATCCTTGATTTCTCATCTTCTATTGAATCCCATCAGATGCATGTTAAGCGGGTTTTTGAGAGGCTGCGTCAGCATGGACTGTTCGCAAAAGCAGAGAAATGTGAGTTTGAGAAGCAGACTTATCATTTCTACTGATGGCATCCCTATGAATCCACAAAAGGTGTCTGCCATTTTGGACTGGCCAGTCCCTTCGGACAAGAAAGGAGTCCAACGTTTTATCTGCTTTTCCAATTTTTACCGGAAATTCATCAACACTTTTTCAAAAATTATTCTGCCCATCACGCAGCTCACGAGAAAGCAGATACGATTCCAGTGGTCCTCCACGGCTCAAGACGCTTTCGATAAATTGAAAGATCTCTTCACCACGGCTCCCATCCTCAGACATCCGGATCTAGCTCTTCCATTCGTTTTAGAGGTTGACGCATCAGAAAGTGCAGTGGAGGCAAGTAGCATCGCA